GCTAAATCCCCAGCCCCAGATTTAAAGGTTTTTGATGGGTTCCACACTTCCACAATTACTGGCCTTAGTACAGCTCATATCTCATGCTGGCCAGTGGGAAACCTCTCCAAGTTGTCACCAAGGTCTTTTGTAAGACCTTACATTAATACTTGGTATCTGTCTGGGCTCATGTCTGTAATCCCAGTACTCTGGAGGCTGAGGCAGGAGGATCATTGTGAGTTCAAGACCAGCCTGGGCTACGAAGTGAGCTCAAGGCCAGTCTGAACTGCATAGCCAGACCCTGTCTCAAAAAGACAAAAAAGAAGAAAAACCAAAAAACTTGTTATCTTGCTGGAAATTAAATGTTCCATTTTCATCTTATGTATTTCTTGACTCTGACCTAGAAACAATTTTGTCCAAGAAGCCTGATTTTCTTTTAGTAGCAAACATTGTTAAGCTCATAATTTGGGAACTAGGAATGACTACTGCTACTAATTCATTGCTTTGAGGTTTTTATAAGGGACAGAATAAGGATTCTCATGTATTTCTATATATTTTAAACTTTACTTGGAAATGATTGCAAATTCAAAAAAAATACTAAATACTGTGTATCCTTTACCTAGACTTGTTTATTGCTAACCCTTTACTCCCTGCTTTATAATTTGCTCATATATTATATATTGTATGTATACACATACTTCTTCCTGAAGTATGAGGGTCATACATACATTATGGCCCTATAGCCATACAGTAGGTGTTTCCTAGGAAGTGTCTCCTAAATATATCTTGCTGTCAGTACAATAAAGCTGTCAACACAGATACAACACTCGTCTACTGTCAATGTACCTTATTTGACCTAATAATGTTCTTCACAATCGTTTTCCTAGTGCAGGATCCAATCTAGTAGTAGGTACTGCATTTATTAACTTTTTAAATAGTGTGAAACATCTCTATTGCTTTAACGGTCCTTCATAATGAACGGTCCTTCACCTCTCATGACGCTAATTCTATTTCAAGAAACATTCCTCTTGATACACTCCTGTTTACACTCAGCTGGAAACTACGTGATGCTTCTCCTCAGACGCTCACATCTGTAGCACCATGCTGTATACCTCCCCCTCCTCCTTTGGTGATGCTAATTCTGATCACAGACTAGCTGCTACTAATTTTCTCTACTGTATCATCAATGGTTTGTACCTTTCCTCCCTCTCTGGAGATGAAAAGGTTGCGTAGGGCTCCTTATCAAATCCCCCACACTTATCAGCCATTGGTGATTCTTCCCCAATCATATTCACTTCGGTGGATGTAAAATGATCAGCGGTAGGGGTGGGCATCCCTAAGAGATGCATGAGGAAACTCTCTTGAGTAATGGGGCTGCTCCACACCTGGAAGAAGCTGGCTGATGCCACGTAAGTCTGGCATGCCTCAAAACATGCAGAGCAGTAAATTTACAGTGCAAGTCCTGCCAAAAATCACAAACAGATGTTGAACCATAATGAACTGCATGCTAAAGTATTTAGGGGTGTCTGTAACTTACAAAATGCATCAGAAATAAGATGGATTAATGGGTAAATGGTAATATAGTAAAGCAATGGCAGCGAAAGGTAACCATTGGAAACCAGAGCTGAGTGGGTATAGGATATTTTCTGCCCAATTCTTTGAAGTGTGCTACATGTTTAAATATTTTCGCAATAAATTGAGAATTTTAAAAACAATTCTGTAAGGAATAGGTTCTAAAGACCACAAAGAGCAAATGGATAATTACAATTTGGAATAATTCTCCAGTGTTTGTATCATACCCATACTTTGAATCTAAGCATACGGAAGGAAGATAAAAAGCCAGTTTTTAGCTAAAAAGTGGTTCTAGAGATGATCAAAACACTGATGTCACAATATATACAGTTTTTCAAAATGATCTCATAATAGGAAAACAATATTTTAAAATATATGTGATTTCAAATGCATATACTTAAAAAATACTTTAAGTCAACGCCAGTTTTATCCACTTTCCTATGTAGTTAGTTTATTCAAGCAGGCCATAAGACTTTTATTTTTAAATTTTTACTAGAGGAAATGAAGATTAACTTATATTTTGGCAATATGGCACATGGAAGGCAGTTTATCATAGTACTAGGAAAATTTATAAACACTACTGTAAATGGTTGCATGAGATGCATGTACTTTCAAAATTCCTTCTCCGTCCATTTTTGGGCAGTTAAGTCATGTTATTTTTCGTGCATACAAGCTCTGTTGTATTAATAGCTTCTATACACTCCTGTCAGCATCTCTAACCGCATCACTCTGAATTTCATACATATCAACAAACAGAAAGTACTCCCCACCACAGTTTCACTGCAAACTCACCAACATTTAAGCATTATTTTTCTTTCTTTTGAAGCAGGGTCTCACTATGCAGTTCAGGCTGGCCTTGAACTCACTACATAGTCCAGGCTGGCCTTGAATTCACAGGGATCTTCCTGCCTCACCCTCCTGAGTGTTGGGATCACAGGTGTGTGCCACCATGCCAGCCTCTTGAGCACTATTTTTAAACATAGTATTTATCAATTTATAGGGCAGGGACTGGGGATTTAGCTCAGCTGCACAGAGCCTCCCTGGCAAGCGTGAGGTCATGAGTTCGATTCCTCATACTGGGGAAAAAAAACCAAAAAAAAAAAAAAAATATATAGGGCAGGTTTTTGCTGGCATTGTTTTTGCGAGGCACTATCACACTGGATCCTGCTCTGCAGTTTCCTGTCAGCAGGATTTTGCTGGCTCGGAAACAGAGGAGTAAGCCCTTGGTGCTGGGATGTGTTCAGGTGTCAGAGCGGCCAGGCGCTGTGGGTGTGTGTGGCTGGCCTCCCGACGCCTCTCCTCTCGCTCTGGGTCTGTGTCTCTCTGACTCCCTTTCTCCATGTCTCCCTTTGTCAGTCCTATCTATGTGTGGGGCTATTTATCCTCACGAGTTTTAACTTTTCTTTTTGTAAGATCTATATACATACAGTATTCTGTTCAAGTCTGAAAAAAATCATTTATATTTTTGTGAAAAAAATCATTTATATTCTGACAATTTCTTACTCTAATGATGCTTATGAATTTCCATATTTCTGAAATGTTTACCTATTTTGTCAGACCAGAAACTTAAAAGCTTTACTTTTGTTTAGTAAATTTGTTTTCTTATGTTAATACTTACACAGTATTTTTCCTAATCATTAAATTTTCCTTTATTAATATTTTGCCTGTGTGTTTGAAGCAGTTTTTTCCTTTTATTTCTGATTTCCTCAGAAAGCTCATCAGTTTTTATTCTTTTAGTAAATATTGCACAACCTTGGCCTCATCCTGTAAGTACTGATAGTTATATATGCAATTCTACAACCGGGAGACGTTAGTAAGGGATTATATATACTGGAAAAATTATTTAAGTTTCCAAGCAGTACTGTGCTAACTCTTGCCTTGTTTGTCTAACTTTTGCTTCATACACTTGTACAGTGTTACCTGGTCCTTAAGAGGGCAGTACAATTTGATCTTCATTTTGAATTATATGTGCCCTTTATTATCACAAAAATTATTCTTCCTGTCACACAATATTGGCTGACTTTAATTCTTTGTCTAACGTTAACACTGTAGTTCTTTTTTTTTTTTCTTTTTTTTAAAAATTTTCAAAAGCATTTTTGGGGCCAAGAGTTTAGATCAGTGGTGCAGTGCTTGCTTGGCAAGTGTGAAGTCTTGAGTTTAATTTCCCGTACCCTTCCTAAAGAAAGCATTTTTAACTGTAGCATTTTCAACTACCACAGAGAAAGTTATCACATAAACTGACCTGTTTGAAATATGAGTTTACTGTACCTTTACTGTCATCTCCTGTTCTCAAATGTTCTAGTCTAATTTGGTACTAAAACTCCAGGTCGTTATTACTTTATTTTTTCTTTTTTAGGCATGATCTCATATTTACAGTCAATTTGATGATATTTACAACAGCTATTTAGGCGTCTCTTTTGCAGTCAGTGCTCACAGCCAAAATTTTAATTCTAAGATTTCTTTATTATTTTATTCATAATCTGGCATTACCTCAATCAATTGAATATATTTACAACTAATTTGTGTACAACAAGGCAGTAGTAATGTTGTATTTTGAAGATGTGTTCTTTTAGTTGTCCTGCCACATGAAAGAAAATAAAGCTGTATTATGTAAAAAAAAAAGTAAAGGGTAAAACTTCCTACTTCAAACTATAGATGTTTTCTTATTGCCTACTGGAAATTGCTGAGTTAAACATGAATGAATATGGCTTAGTTTTTATTGATGCATATGTAATAAAAAAACTAGCATCTAATTAATTACAGAACTCTTTTAAGATTTTATGAGGACATAGTCATTTCTAAGTCTAATTGGTTCTTTTTCATTAATTTTTTACTGAAGTATGTAGAGAACCTTTTTAATCTGTACAGAGTTGACTTACTTCAACATAGAAAAGTCTCTTTGTAACATACTGAAATTGTTTAACTTCAAGCATGCCAAAAGTTTTCTAAAATATTTTTTTTGATCTTTCTTATAAAAACTATTTGTAAATGAATTGCCTCTACCCTGCAACACCATCCAGAGTTCAGTCACCTCAATCACAAAAGCAAACATACAAGACTCACTAACCTCAGCAGAGGACATGAAGGATTTGGTTAGCAGCTCCACCATACACAACAGAAGGACAAGGAGTCAGAAGAGCATTGTTGGCAGCCATGCCCGGGGAGAGGTTCTGTGGCATTTTTTAACATAACAAAGGAGCAGTTCAGCAATTTATGGGGCAAAACATCACAGAAGCAGGGCTAGGTACTATGACCCCATTCACTCGAGGTATGTGCAGCAGTTTATTATCTTCCCTTTCTTGGCTGGGCAGCTAGGCATTATTCCATTAACAGCTAACTAGCATTCTTCTAAGGTACTCAAGACATTTTATGTACTATAAACGACTCTGGAATGCTCTTATCAAACATCATGTCATGCTGCAGTGGGACCCAGACGATCTGAAACAAACCTGTGTAACTTTCATCATCATCGGACAAAGGCACCTCTCTCTTCAGCAGCAACTCCAACTCCTCCGTTTCTGCGACATCCACTGGCCGCTCTCCATGTTTATTAGCTTGAAATGGGTTTCCGCCATGACGAAGCAACAGTTTCACTATCTGCAACATCGAACGGGGGAGGATTTAGTCCTTTCTTAGCTGTGTTATTTTGACCACTCACTTGATAACATTACCATGATACTTCATCTTCTCTGCACCTATGACTCAGTGACTAATCATTACTTTGCGCGAGGTGTGGTAGCGCAAGCCTATAATCCCAGCACTTGGGAAGCTGGGGCAGGAGGATCATTGTGCATTCGAGGCCCATGTGGGCTACATAAGCGAGTTCCTGAGAAGACGTTTATCCTTCACTCTTGCAGCTTTAACTTTTTTTTTTTTTTTTTGCCACAGTACTGGGGACTAGACCAGGGCCTCTGCACGGAGCTATATTTCCAGACATTTTTAAAAATTTTGAGACAAGGTCTTATTAAGTCACTAAGCTGCCCAGGCTGGGCTCAAACATGATCCTCCTGCCTCAGCCTCCTGGGTGCTGGTATTAAAAAGCCCTGTGCCACTGTGCCACTATGCCCAGCTGTGCTCTGATTTTTTTATCGGTCTTTCACAGTTCCAATTGCATCAGTACTACAAAAAGCTCATCTAAGTCCATAAAGATCTAAGCCCATGACTGTCCCCTATGGCTAGGTCCTTCATCTACTTTGTCATGCTTTGGTATATATCATTTTTGTAAAATTTTTACCCACTCTATTTGAATGTGATGATAATCATGTGACTCACTCATTCACTGTCTTGCTTACTTTCTCAGCCATCTTCCTTGAGCTCCAACCTCAAATATCAGATTTATCCAATTCAATACAGTATGTGTTTTTTAATATAAAAGCCTAAAATCAACAAACTCCAAATGGAGCTCAGTGAATTTGCACCTTTTATGTATTTCCATCCAGAGTGACTGGCACTGAAAGCTACCCCGGCTCTGAAGTCAGAAACGTGGGCGTCATCACCAGTTTTCAGTTTTACTCTGCAGCACAAAGGTGGCCAACTGTTTGTTACTACCTGTGCTGCCTGCTCTGTCTTGCTGCGATGTCCCCATTTACACTAACGCTGATGTGTTCTATCACACAGGAACCAACACAATACATCTCACCCCTTACTCTCGACCATCAGCTTCGTGAGATCAGGACTTTAAATTCCCAACACACAACTGTGTTTTCTGGTATCTAGACAATGTACCATATCATCTAAGAGCATGCTGGAATAAATAACGTAAAAACAGATAGCTATTAACTACATTTATTACTATAGGAACAATTTAAAACATATTGTAAATCAAGAGTCCAAAGTATTTAAAAATAAAGGTTCACAATGAATCAAATAATGAAATTTCTAGATTAGTATGAAAGCACAGAATAATCTATACACTCACAGACAACAGAGAGTGTATGAAGAAAACAGTTATTCACGAGCCCATGGTCCCAACTGTCAGTATTTTATTTCTCTTGGGTCTTCACCTTTATCACAGAGATGACTTAAAATTTTGAAGGCTCAGCTAACTTTCAAGGACTGCTGCTGGAGGACAATTACCCCGTCACCTACTGCCAAATTGCAGGCATGCACCACGGTGGAGGCGGTGAAGCCACCAGGTCATGTGGGGCTGGGTGGGGAGTGCGAGGGCAGAGGCTCCATTCAGGGATAGGTTCCAGTGCTGAACAGCACTCCCAGAGGTGGCCAGTGCCACCTACTCCTCAACTTCAGTTTTTCTGAGATTCAGTGTGGTCTGCAGGCTTAGTTTTTACATTTTTAAGGGATTACTAAAAGAAGAGGAGAATTTGGTTCTAATCAAACTAGAATTTACTACCAACATAAATATATTAGAAAGATATAGCTTCTGTGATTTTAAATGTTAATTTTCTTTTATCATACAGGAATTATAGTGAATAAAATTCATTAGTATTGAGTATTTAGGGCCAAAGCCTGTATAACTACTGTACACAGTGAGGATGTACATAAAGCCACAGGTTTTATGAAGCACAACCACTGATAACAGAAAAGCACTCAAATCAACAAAACAATTATCTTCTTTTCTCTCAATGAAAAACATAAAGCTGTCCTAGAAAATAAAAAAATTCGCAGCTGTGAAGATGTGAGAAAAAAAATCATCCTGCAGATGTGCCAGAGATAATAAAAAGGAAATGTAAAAAAAAAAAGGGAGGAGGTAAAGAAGGAGAAGGAAGGAAGAGGTAGCAGAGTTGGCCTGTAAAGCATAAAATATGTACTCCGGCTTGTATAAAACAAGTTCCCCCCACTCTGTCCTGGACAGTACCTTCTCACTCCTCTGGCTTCTAAAATCTTGGTTTTCTGTATCTTCTGTTTTTGTCTTTGTGGCTCTTTATCTTTTTAAATCTCCCCTGGGGCTAGGGATGCAGCTCTTATGGCTAGTATGTGTTAGACCTTGGGTTTGATTCCCAGCTTCGAATTAAATTAACAAAATAAAATCTCCTCTTCCATTATAGAGATTTGAGAAGATTAAGTAAAAAAACTTTCAGTTATTATAGTGAGCATTTTTATAAGGTGAAATTTTTTCAATTTTTAGACTTATTTCCTCAGACCAGAGGCCCAGAACAAGAAAGCAGAATAAGGGATCTTAATACTGCTGAAAGCTTTCTACCCACATCAGGAAGCAGCACACAAATACCGCATGACTACGACGATGAGTCAGGTGCAGATGGTTGATTCAAACATCTCTGAAAAACAATTATCGGCACATACGAATGCTGTACTTATTCTAACATGGATTTCAGGCAACATAAAGTTGCTTAAAGAGTAACAGACAGCAAATTAGAAGTAGGCAGAAGTAATCAGACACAAGAAAAATGATAGGCATCTAAAGCACAATTAGGAATGAGGCTACTATAAATGTGTATTATGAGTAAATATAAACAGCAAGTCAAAAACTGACAGTAAGCCATGTTAATCTTCTCAATACTCTTAAGTAATTTAGATCTGGCTACAAACCTAGAACCACTTTATAGATGAAGCTGTCGTAACTTTTACCGAGTAAAACCCCATTCTTACATAGCGGCTCATAAGGCATAGTACAGATGTACAGAAATGAGAGTTTTTGGTAACTCTCATTTCCCTCTTTATTAGGGACAAATAAATAAGGAGAAATAGTTCTCAACAGTTCTTGAATTCTGACTCCCACCCTCTTAGGCATGTTGGCAGGAAGCAAAGCAAAGGTCGTTTGAAAACAGCATTCCAGTCTTGCTCTGCAGACTAGAAATAGTGTTTGAGTCCTGCTAAGTGTATGAGCTCAAAGGTCAGCTTCTGGAAAATATTTTGCAGCTATGTGCACATTTAGAAACTTGTACTCATAGAAACATGCCTCAGTCACAGGCCTAAATTTTAAAAATTACACTTAGAAAGCACGAAACCTACGTAATCACACTTAAAGGAAGATCATTCACCTTTGATAAAGTATCATTAATCCTTATGTAAAAAGGGTGAAAAGTACAGCTATTATTTTAAATATTACAGCCAGAAAGTAAATTTCATTTCTGGTAAGTTCAGTGGGAACAGCAATGTACTCTCATGTTACTGAGCCTGAACCGGCAAACCTTAGGCATCCTGCCGCTCCTCAGACAGCAATCACCCATGCATTCATTTATCTACACACTCACATCCGTACCAGATTGATTGCACACTTCCATGTGACACGCCTTTAAAGAATCAGTCACACGAAAGGACGCGACACGCCTGTTCAGATGCTACGCACAGTCACATGCAGGAAACATGATGTTAGACAAGTAAACAGTAAAAGAGAATGTAATAAATGCATTCCACTATAGTGGAGCCTCGGATCACAAACTTAATTCTTCCAGTGATTCTGGTCACAGAATTTGATCCGTGATTCTGGTTGCAACTGAACTGAACCGTATGTAGAAATTGTCAAGGGATGAGAGGAAAGAATGCTTCAATGGTAAGCAAGACCAGTTTAGGAAAAACAGTATTTACAGATTACATTTTAATTCACTCAAAAAGTTTTCACTGATGAACATAGAAAAATGACCTAGAAACGTATGAGAAAAACGGCACTTTTAACTTTTAGTCTTAAGTATTTGGATACACTGAAATACAGGCATACAAAGGTAGCTTCTAACCATCTTTTACCTCTACCATTTCATAACATTTTAGACTTCAAGATGTGCTTAAATGTAATGTCTTCATTTCTTCACAATGTCCCCTTTAGAGAGATGTCTTTTATTGTATAATTTTAAGACAAGGAAATTCAGAGAAGAGAAGTAACTTGTTCAATATTACATAATTAGCAAACTGGCCAGGCAAGAATTGGATTTGTGACTATCTTCCCTCCAAATTCCACATTAGTTTCAACTAAAACAGGAGTTGGCTTTTAAAAAGACAGGTAGCACAATACTCCAAAGTCTGATAGAAGGCCCTGAAATAAAATTTCTGCCAAATTGCTTACTGAATCGGCAAATTAAACGGATTATTTTATGAAAAGGTAACGCTAAATCTGTGAATGAACAGTCAGAAAGTAGAGAAAGGGTGCTGAGGCTACAGTTCACAGCCAGGGTGCTTGCCCTGCACAGGCAGGCCTAGGTTCAGTGCCCAGAAGGGGGGACAATACAGCTGTGTCGATTAAGCAATGAATGAAACATGACAAGATCACACAACTACAAAAGGATCTCACTACCCTGGGCTGGGGTTTTCTCTGCACACTTACGTCTCTGTGCCCACTGCTAGCGGAGTCATGGAGCGGAGTGTCATCATCCAGTCCCTGTGTGTTGACATCGGCCCCGGCAGCAATCAGCACCTTGGCAACATCATAATACCCAACGTTGCAAGCTTCATGCAGTGGTGTCCAACCTAAAGCCAGAAGAGTAATTGAACCGACAGGCAGGTGAATGAATTTAGGATGTGTGCTTTTCATATAGACAGGCATATTTATTTAGATTTTTTTGAGACAGGGTCTCATTGCATGGTTCAGGCTGGCCTCAAACTCACTGCGATCTTCTTGCTTCAGTTTTGTAGGTGCTGGGATTATAGGTGTGTGACACGGAGACTGGCCTCATTTAGAGAGATTTATGTGTGACATGTCAACTCTAAATTGAGTCTAGCCAGGTGTGGTGGCACGTGCCTGTATCCCAGCATTCAGGAGGCTGAGGCAGGAGGATCATTGCAAGTTCAAGGCCAGCCTAGGCTACAAA